GTATCACTCTGATGGCTTTTTTCTTGTCTAACTTTCAAATATTTTGTATTTCCACATTTATTGCTCTCACAGCCAAGAATCCATAAAAGGTGGAAGCTCAGGGCAGGGAGGTGATGAGTAAAGTACAGCTAAATAGTCTGAAGAATGTCGCTCTCCAGCCTAACTGCTGCTCCTTACAAGGTCCTTCCCTGAATTCTTTATGCTGTAGCCTCCTCTGAATCATTGCTGTTCAAAGGCCTGCACAGGTACTCTGTGGCTACACAATGATTAGTGAGGGTTTCACTTCTGCATTCTTCAGCTGCTGGCAACCAACTTCACAGAACATCCAAGCTATTCTGCTTTACCCACTTTCCAATACCATTTACTACCAAACGCCATTTATCACTATAATTTTAAAAAACCCAAAACCCAGAGTATTCATAGAATGGTTTAGGTTAGATAGGGGCCTTAAGGATCATCTTGTTCCAACTCCCCTGCCATAGACAGGGACATCTTCGACTACCAGATTGCTCAAAGCTCCATCCAACCTGGCCTTGAACACTTCCAGGGATGGGGCATCCACAACTTCTCTGGACAAAGGACACAGAGATACTTCAAAAGGTCATTTTTACCATATGTACAACATAAAAACATACAAAAAATACCCTCCCAAATGCAAACATTTTTGAAAGAGAGGTAGGCACAGACAAAGAACAGTTAAAATTGGCAAGTTGTGCAGTCACATGGAATAACAGTCCCTTTATCTGATTTTTGAAGGGAAAATACAGCGTCTGCTGCCTGCAGGATCTCTCCATTCTCGCACTGTGCTGGTCTTAGTAAATGCCATTTATTTCAAAGGAAAGTGGGAGAAGAAATTTCTGGAGAAAAATACTTCTGAGATGCCCTTCAGAATAAGCAAGGTAAATTCCTTGTCATTATTATATCATTATGCCTGCTGTCCTATGTTAATATGTCTATTAGTGAGGAGAAAATACTTCATCTGTATTTAATATGCCACTGCAACACTACTCATAGCTGAGAAAGTGGTAAAAACTCAGGAGAATACAAACTGTGAAAATAACTCAGCATTGTCTTGTTTATGCATATCCATGAAAACTGGATTTTTAATTTATAACTCCTCAGTATCAAAATACTTAGGAACAGTTGAAGTTTGTTTTTGTTTTTTTTTTAAAGTAATAAGCTAAGCAAAGTAAGCTAAGCAAAGTAAGTTAAGAAAAGTAGCTTAAGGACAAGAAGAAATGTCTCTAAGCACTATTTTCAAACAGGACCAGGTTGCTTTTGAGAGCAATGTTTACACACACCTATAGCTCACTTCTGTCTTGGGACCCTGAGATCGTGGGATCTCATCCAGCTCTTCTTCCCACATGCACCCTGGGTTTTACATCAAACCTCACAGGGAATTTCCATGGGGTTTGTCATTTTAGCTGAGTGTGTGAGCGTGATCTATTCAGATGATCTACTCATTGAGCTAACAGCATTTAAATGATCATGCACTGACAATTCCCAGTAGCTGACTGCACGCATATTTCTGGACTGTGTCAAAAGCAAGCAAAACTATTTGTCAATGGAAACAAACATTTTGTTTGACATAGATTAAGGGTGCAAATACCTTTTGTATGCCAGAAAATGTGAACCAATTGATGTGACTGTGTACCCGAAACCTACTAGACTACGTGTGCAGTTTTAGGATCTGTCACAGCAGTTGGTTGTGGTGGGTGACCTTGGCCAGCCACCAGTTGCCCACTGAGACTCCCTATCACTGCCCCTTGTCAACTGGATAGGGGGAGAAAAATAGGATGAAAAGGTCATGCATGGGTCAGGCAAAGAACAGGAAGAACATTTATCAATTGCCATCATGGGCAGAACAGGCTCAACTTCAAGAAATTCATTTACTGCCAATTCTCAGAGTAAGTTAGTGTGAAGTAGACCAAACATAAAGTGCCTCCTCCTCACCCTCCCTTCCTCCCAGTCTCAACTTCACTTGCAACTCACCTGTGCCCCAAAGCAGTGCAGGGGACTGGGAATGAGCTAATGTAGTCGTCAGCTCATTGAATGTTCTCTCTACAGCTCCTTCCTCCTCCTCCTCCTCCCACTTTTCCTCTGCTCAAGTGTGGGGTCCTGTCCATGGGATAAACTCCTTCACGTGGGTCCTTCCCACGGTCTGCAGTTTTGCAAGACCTGCTCCAGTGTGAGTCCACTGCGGGGTCACAGGTGATGCCAGAAAAGGGCTGCTCTCCACAGCATGACAGGTCCTGCCAGGAGCTTGCTCCAGCATGGGTTCTCCAGGAGCTGCAGGGTGGATTTTTGCACCACCATTGTCTTCACCATGGGCTGCAGGGGAATCTCAGCTCCAGGGCCTGGAGCACCTTCTCCCCCTCCTTCCTCACAGATCTAGGTGTCTTCAGGACCATTTCTTAATCTTTATTTTAGATTTAGAAATACATTACATGGGATTCAGTTAATAGGTTTTTAGCTTGTGTGTTTATACTAATTTTTTATAAAGATCTCAAAGACTTTGAAAAGAGGTGTGTGTGATCCTGTCTAAAGAAAAGGGTCCTGGTATCCAGATGCTGCTGAATCTTGTACTTGTTTTCAGTTCGATGAAGCAAGTAAATTTTATCATCCTTTTAATGTGTAAAGTAATTTTTATGTCTGAATTTTTTCCAGACCAAGACTAAACCAGTACACATGATGTTTTTGAAAGACAAATTTTTCATATTCCATGAAACCACAATGAAATTCAGAATCATTGAGCTGCCATATGTGGAAAATGAACTCAGCATGCTCCTTCTTCTTCCCGACGACATCAGTGATAACACTACTGGCCTGGAGCTGGTAAAGCAGACCTACTGTTGCATCACATACACTATGAAAGAGTAACAGAAACAGATGAAAAGAGTGAGGAAGAACAAGCTTCCAAATCACAGTAGAATAGCTCTTTGTTTCAGAAACTGTAACACCATGATTTTCAGCTTAGGATTCAGGACATGCAGTACATTGCAAACACAGTACATCTAAAACCTATGTCCACACAACTGTCTTGAACTATTTTGTATCCTCTTTCCTATTGCCAGTATAGCATAGGGAAAACTAGGATCACCATGCCCTAGAGTTATCTTCTCCTGAGGGCTGTATTAATTCATTCTTATGTAATTTTCAGTCTGGATTTCCAGCTGATAGTTTGAGAAACCTCACCACAAACTAAGTGCTGACTACCCTGACCCAGAAGGTGCCAACAGCAACTCATGACTATGCCAGGATCAGTTTCAGATTCTAAGCAGAGCAGGGGAAATATTTTTATTTGTACCTCAGTTCCCACGCATCCTATTTATCACCACTAAAAGAAAATTTATCCATATACACACACATCAAGCACCTATTATTTATACAATACTTATATGATTGTTATAAGTAATACATTGCAAAATCAGCAATGTTCTTCACACAAGGGGAAGAAAAAGATAAATTACTCTGAGGCTTCAGGCCTACACCTCCTCACCTTTAAGAAAATAAATAGGAGTATAAGTCACTCAGCACTTTGTCAGATCACGCCCTCTAAATATTATGCACGTTCCATCTGTAGTCACTGCTGGTAGCTGGGCCTTGCTTTACATGTTCTTGATGAGCAATAAGACACTGGTCTGTACATGTCTTGTCTCTGTCCTTCACATTCCAACTGCTTTCTTCCTCAACTCATTGCAGGTGGAAAGAGAGCTGACATATGAGAAACTGTCTGAATGGACCAAATCAGACAATATGATGAAAGCTGAAGTGAATCTATACCTGCCCAAGTTGAAGCTGGAAGAAAATTATGACCTTAAATCCCCTCTGAGCAGCATGGGGATACGAAATGCTTTTGACCCAGGTCAGGCTGATTTCACAGGGATGTCAGTGAAGAAGGATCTTTTCATCTCACAAGTTATTCACAAAGCTTTTGTGGAGGTCAATGAAGAAGGTACGGAGGCAGCAGCTGCCACAGGTGTATTGATGATGAGATCAAGAGTCCCAACAATGACTTTCAAAGCTGACCACCCTTTTATCTTCTTTATCAGACACAACAAATCGCAAACCATCCTCTTCTTTGGCAGGTTTTGCTCACCCTAGTTGGTGAGCCCTTGCCCTGCAGAGCAGGAGATGCTTGCTTGCTAGCATAGAGGCAAACCCCAAACCTGAGGCTCCAGGGGAGCAGGAACTGAACCCCTTCCTCATTAGACCACACACTCTGGTGCCTGAGGCACAGCTTTTCCAATGACTCCTTTCTAAGCCGAAGGGACAACCATGGCAGTGCCACAAGGATTGTCTGATGCCTTGCACCCACAGATCAATCCTGGCTATCGTTTGGATCAGGCCATCATCATAGCTCTGCCCTTATCACTGTATATCTCTCCCACTCAGACTCTGGCAAAATATATTTGTGCACAGTGCTGTTTCTCCTTACCCTTGTGATGAGGGCCACTTACGCTGATGCAGTCCTAGCATGTACCCCCAGCCTGCAGCAATCAGACCCAGCTCCTGCTTTTTAGCCCTAGACTAAGCCCTGGAGTTAATACTGGAGGCAGATCTCCCAACCTTCACCCTGTGGTCATCCCCCCGCTTGCCTTCCACATCTCAGCTGCAAGTCTTCATCAGCTCCCAATAACCCTCATGTTGCTCTACAGATTCCTTTTAATAAAATAATAAAAAAATACAGCTTTCTTATGGCTATTTGCCTCACTCAAACCCTCAGGAATGCGAGAAAGGGTTAAGTCCGTACGGTATCTGGCTACAGCAACAGCTCAATGTGGCTCAAAGCAATCAGAAATTATTCAGAAATAAGTAATTAATAGCGCCTCATGGACCGGGGGTGTTTTCTGTCAGCTCTGCCAGAAGGGTTAAGTCCGTACAGTGTCTGGCTACAGGAACAGCTCAACTTGGCTCAAAGCAATCCTAGCCTCAGAAATAAGTAATTAATAGCGCCTCATGGACCGGGGGTGTTTTCTGTCAGCTCTGCCACGAGAGGGAGGCAGAGGTGGAGAAACACGGGCCGTGGCCGGCGGAGCTGCAAGGGCAGGGGAGAGGCGGCTGCCAGGCCAGCCTGAGGCGGGGGGCCGCCATTTTACCGGGAGGGGCTGCGGCGCCTCCCGTTCCCGGCGGCCAAGGGTGAAGCGCCTCAGCCTCTGGCTAAATCCCGGGATTGGGCGGGCTCCCGTTCTTTCCCTCTGCTCGGCTGCGCTTCCGGGAACAGGGAGGCGGCGGCCGGCAGGGTGAGTGCGGCGGCCGCGTTGCTGTTGCCGCGTGGTCGTGAAGGTTTTCTACGGGGAAGCCTGTGCCTGTGCTTTTCAGGGTTTTCTTGTTTTGCGGTGTTTTTGGTTTTTTTTTTTAGGAAGTAGAGCTGAATGACGTTGCTTTTACTGTGTTTTGCATTTTCTTTCTTTTTCTTCTCTCTTTCGTGACATTGCCTAAACACAGCTGCTTCTTGCCAGCTGGAGCCGCGGCGGTGCGGCTGGAGCGCTTCTTGTGGGAGCGCCGGGAGCGCCGCGGGGTTGGGACATCTCCCGCGGGGCGAATCTCGGGGCGGGGGCGGAAAAAGAACTCTTCTTTCTAGGGACGGCCAAACCTTTTTGTGCCTCAGCTTGCTGGGACAGTGTCAGGCTCCTCCCTGCCCCTCCCCGCCCCTGCAGAGGCACAGGGGTCAGGAGCCCGAGAGCAGCGGAGCTGTGTCATTCCCTGCGTCCCAGGGATGCCAAGGGCCATCACCAGGAGCTGTCCGCGGTCTTGCCCTGCAGGTGTTTTTACATCGCTCCCAACAATCCAAATCCTAAATGAAGCCTTTTCCCTCAAGGAAGCCTGCTGTAGTTCCGCGGGTGGGAAAAGGGGTGTCTGTGCCACGGACAGAACTGTGTCTGTGGAGATGGACATGGCCTGGTGCTCACTGCCCTGAGTTCCCTCTGCGGTTGGGAGTCAGCTTGAGACTCCTCTGATGTAGCTGACTCGCCATAGGGAAGTGTCCTTGTTTGCCGGACGCTGATCCACGTCGTAGTTAACAGGGGAAGTGTCTCTTGGGCTGCAGGCTGGAGGAGAGCTGCACCCTGCTGTGGTTTTCCCATGGCAAGGCCCTGCAGTGCTTGACTGCTGATTGATCTACATACAGCCCTTTGGTCCGTAAAGACTGTCCTGAGGCATAGGTGTCGACTGCTGAGAATATATGCTTCAAATGCAGAGTGGCAGGAACACAAAACTGCACCGGTGTCTCACTGCTGACCTGCAGAGCATGGGGAGAGCAGACTGAGGAATGAGCTGCTGTCAGCAAACCCTTTGACCACGGAGGGCTTTGCAGCGGTTTACAATTGACTGACAAATATGTGCTGTGAGGCTTTTTGTTCCTTAAAAGTGCAGTCATTGTGTATTGTCTCTGAAACTGTGGATTCCAAATTGTGCATGTCTCTGATGAGGAGAGTGTCCATAGTTATGTTGCTATTCCTGAGCTGCAGAGAAAGCACAGCTGACTATGCAGATGTAACTCCTAGCTTTGTGTCCCAGCTGTTGAATATTATTTATCATATTTATGAATATTATTTATTATTTAAATGCCCCTGATTTTCAGGCAGGCAAATAGTGTCAATTGTGTCCTTTTGTCTGTAAATTCTTGCCAGTTGTGGAAGCCCTACAGACACTTGTAGAAAATAACAGCCTGTTGGTGTCACTATTCCTGTGTGTTTTGACCTGGAGGTCAAAAAAACCTTATTGCTAGCAATCTGCAGATACTAGGGTCATAGGAAAATTCAGGTCTACACTGTAACCAGCGTGAATGCTGTGTGTCTCTTCTTTATTCTGTTCGGTGAATAAGTTATTCATTCAGACACAATTGGAGGATTGTTTCCATCTAAGCATGCTTGTTTTTTGGTTGTACTTTTTTCAAGTTATGGGAGAAGAGAAATAGGATTAAATTGCTACTTTTTATAGCAAAGCTGCTAGCAAGAAATTTTCTTGGTTTGAAAAGCATGCATGTGGAAACTTGCGCTTTTCAACTCTCTAAGATAATGAATCAGTAGTACAAATTATTTGGTGGGTTTATTTGGTAGCAACAAGTCAACACTAGGCCCTGCCTAAAGGGATGAACAAAAGACAGAGATAGTAAAAACTATCAGCCTTTATCTTATGATGACTTATGATATGTATCTGTGGTTAACTCAGTGTTCTAGTACTTATTGCTCATTTGATAGGTGTGGTGTTTAATCTCAGATTCACTGCCTATAGCAGATGAATACAGAGTATGACAGTTTATGATTGTGTGCGTTGCCATGTTGCAGGCAATAAAATGGAACTAAAATGAACTTTGATTTTTTTTTTTCTTTGTAATACAGCAGGAAATTGCAGTTATCTGTCAAGCTGGTGACATAAATTTTTTTCTTTCCTTCTTTTATCTAGCAGGCCAAGTCATTCTGCTGACTTCTCCCAGCCGGGCTGGAAAGTTTAAAAGCCAGCAAGCACACGTAGAAGCAAGCTGCAGGTACCACTGAAGGTCTGTAGACTTACAGAAGGTAAGAGTTGCTAATTCTGCTATTCAGATGTCTAACTTTGGCTTTGGTGTTCCAATAAAGGGGAATAATTTTGTGGGTGAAGTCAAGAGAAAGTTCTTTCAGGGAGTCTTCACCAAAATGCTGTTGTGCCTGATCACTTCAAAAGACGTCACACTGTATATGGATGTGATTGCAATTTAGAAGCAGACCCTAAACTGGTAAAATAATTCAAATGTGTAGTATGGGATCTCAGGTCCTTGTGGCACAAATCGGTCTCCAGCGAGCTGATAATTTTCCTACCTTTGCTGCCCAGTTTGTGCTGGGAAGTGTAGAAGGGGGAAACAACTGTTTTGTATTCAAAGAAATTTGATCATTCTTGTTCTGTGTTTTATGTCCCAGGCTCGGAAGCATGGAAAGCCTCTGTGCAGCAAACAGCACTTTTGCTGTGGAGCTGTTAAGAAAGCTGTGTGAGAAGAAGAGTGGGCAGAATGTGTTCTTTTCACCATTTAGTATTTCTTCTGCTTTGTCTATGGTTTTGCTGGGTTCAAGAGGTGGCACTGAAGCCCAGATAAGCAAGGTATGTCAGAATAAACTTGGTGGATGGCATTTGATGGGATCATATGAAAAGCAGATGTGTCATTCAGTCTATGACATGCACTTGTGCTAAACTGTGATTTTCATTGTGGTGTGAGACAGCAGAGTGCTTCCTCTGCTGTGTGTATAAGGACAATCAATTTTCATTGATTTTGAAAGGGGATATTCCTTCTTTATGAAATTAAGCATTTCCTGGGTTTTGTTGAGTGGGGATTTTGTGGTTTTTGAGACAGATCATCTTTAATATGTAATTAAGAGCTATGTGTTTTTATTTTCTTTTTTTTTTTTTTAATTTGGCATGATCAATTTCTAGCTCCATAAAATATTTCTGCTTCCTTGTTTGGGCTTAATATCAGACAATACATGTTTTCAAAACATAGAGACATAAAAATAAAATCCACAGTGACTGAATGTCAAACTGTTAGAATGGTTTACACTTTTTTGTTTTAAACTTGCTTAGGTAGCAGATAGTACTTGTCATGTGTTTTACGTGTGACCTGACACAATTAAGTGCAAAATCAGTCCTTTTGGTTCTGATGTTGGGCTCTTTTGCAAAGTGAGAGATGAGTAAAAACTGTAATTATTTTTCATATTTACTATTAATATAAGTTTCTCAAAAACTTATGTTGTTGCCATAGTTGGAAGTACTCAAAATCCATCTGGACACAGTCCTGGACTACTGGCAGTAGATGTCCCTGCTTGGGCAGGGCTTTGTAGCAGATTGTCCCCACAGGTCCCTTCCAAACTGAGCCATTCTGTGATCCTGTAAGGCTTGGCTGGGGAAAGGACAATCCAGACTAGTTAATTTGCTGCTCCCTAATTTATGACTTGTACAAGCACTGCAGATGTCATCTTTGTGCAGGTGCTTTCTCTGAAGAACGCCCAGGATGCTCACAATGGGTATCAATCCCTTCTCTCTGAAATCAATGATCCAAACACCAAATACATCCTGAGGACTGCAAACCGGCTCTATGGAGAAAAGACCTTTGAGTTTCTTCCAGTAAGTAGCCATTTAAATTTGTTGTGATTGTTAGGATAAAGCACTTGCTACCTCTTTCCTCTGGAGGTCAAGGCAGGCTTTGGGGTTTGCCTTCCAGATTTTCTGTGCTGAGAGCCAGGAGTGCAATAGATTCTGCCAGAGCCTGGTGTCTGCACTTGGTAGAGAATATTTTTTAAATAACACGTGATCTGAATATGGCAGAGCAGGGTAAAATCCATCAGTCTCTACACTTGAGGGTTCTGTGATCCATTCATCTATTTGTCTGTGGGACAAATGGTTGATATATCTTTTAGAAAAGTCTGAACTGCAGATGTCATCTTTGTGCAGGTGCTTTCTCTGAAGAACGCCCAGGATGCTCACAATGGGTATCAATCCCTTCTCTCTGAAATCAATGATCCAAACACCAAATACATCCTGAGAACTGCAAACCGGCTCTATGGAGAAAAGACCTTTGAGTTTCTTCCAGTAAGTAGCCATTAAATTTGTTGTGATTGCTAGGATAAAGCACTTGCTACCTCTTTCCTCTGGAGGTCAAGGCAGGCTTTGGGGTTTGCCTTCCAGATTTTCTGTGCTGAGAGCCAGGAGTGCAATAGATTCTGCCAGAGCCTGGTGTCTGCACTTGGTAGAGAATATTTTTTAAATAACATGTGATCTGAATATGGCAGAGCAGGGTAAAATCCATCAGTCTCTACACTTGAGGGTTCTGTGATCCATTCATCTATTTGTCTGTGGGACAAATGGTTGATATATCTTTTAGAAAAGTCTGATAAATAAACTTATAAAATCATATGTTATGTCCCTGAAGCATAAAATAGAAACAGGAAAAAAACCCTTATAACTTCAATGAATTTCTGGTAGCCATTTGTACTACAGTACATATGTCATTTGATTTAATAACAATTCCTAGTTCAAAGTTGTATAAATCCTAGTAGGAGCTTGTCAGTGAGAATTTTAAGCTATATGAAGCTGAGGAAGGAAAGCTGGCAGATTTCTGTGAAGAATGTAAGGATCATTGGTGTCTGAATGAGAGTAAATCTCTTGCTGAAAATCTCTTGTGAATGTCCCTGTTAGTCATTTATAGAGTCCAGTCAGAAATCCTACCATGCTGGCCTGGAACAGATGGACTTCCTGCATGCTTGGGAGGATGCCAGAAAACAAATCAATGCCTGGGTGGAGGAAAGGACTGAAGGTGAGTGCTTTACTCAGTACCCAGTTCTGTTTAATGGTAGCCATTGTTTGGGTAAACACCTACCCCTGGTTATGGGATTGTGAATTCAAACCACTCAGATGCTGAGCTATTGCTGTGCCTGGTGCATCATTCTCTTCTCTCTTGTGTATTAATTGCAGATACTATCTTGGATTATATTTAGATACATTTCCAACTATTAATGAATGTGTTTTTTTCTTTGTATGATAAAGGTAAAATTCAGAACCTGTTGGCAGAGGGGATTCTGGATTCTCTGACCAGGCTTGTATTGGTGAATGCCATCTATTTCAAAGGCAATTGGGAGGAGAAGTTCAACAAACAGAGTACCACAGAAAGGCCATTCCAAATTAATAAGGTACGATGTGCTAAAACTCTGTCATTACACTGTTAATGTGAAGTAACCTGAAATTACCACCTTTAGGAAGAAATTAAATTTTTCAAGCAGGGTTGCCTTGAGTGGGCTGTATGAGATTGTTTCTGCCCTCTCCCTTTCATAGGAACACAATCTTTGCAGAGTTTCTCTGAACTTTCACATAATTCCTAGCACAAAGACAGTTGTGAAAGATTGTGAATTTAAGTCTTCTTTAGTCAGAGCTTCCCTGCTTCATTTCTGCCCCTGAGCCATTCCCAAAGAAATGGAAAACAAATTTCCTTTGAATACCTGCTCTGCAGTCTTGTTTTTAGAAGTAGATCAGTGCTCTTGAGGAGACACTGGCCCCTGGCATGGGCAGGCCATGGCTGCCTCTCAGGATCCCCTGCAGCTCTGGGTTGGCTTCCAGGAGTCATGAACCTGGTTCATGGTGATGTGCCTTCCTTCTCTCACCTGCCTGAAGCAACCATTGTGGGAAATGGAAGCCCTCATGCCTGTATGGAAACTGTCCCTCCCTGCAGAGCTGAAATAAATCCAAGAAGGCTTTTAAGGGCTACTAGCACGTTTAAATAAGGGAGTGTTACTGTTCATCCCATACTCTGTACAAGAGCATTTCAGAGCCTGGCTTGGCTCCTGACACCTTGTCCTCTGTGAACAATTGGAAATGCAAAGTGTAAGCTGAAACCTTAAGCTAGTTACTTTACATGCTGTTCAGTAACAAAGAGTTACTTTGACATCCCAGAAACATTTCCTGTGAAATTATTTCTGTGACTCTTGCACTTCTTATGACTCTCTGGATGATTTGCTATTGCTGTGTGGCTTTGTTTTTGCTTATTGATCCTTTATATGTGTCATTGCTACTGCAAAATAATTTCTGCCATATTCTCTCTGAGCATTATTCCAATGGGCACTACTTTAATAACAAAAAGCTATTTATGTGACAATCTCGTGAAGGAAAGGGAGAAAGCAATGAAACTGAGAAGAATGGAAATAATGATGTAAACAATAGTAGCTGATGCTCCATGTGGAAATGGAATAAGATAGCAGATAATGAAAATAAGAATAAAATCTCTGCCCTCATTACTATCCTTATGACTTTTAAGAATTCATAATAATACTCTTTCTTGGTATTTTTAGTATATACATTTGAAAGTATTTTAAGTCTTTGATATAGCCACACAGAACCACACAGACCAACAATAAATGCACTGAAATAACTTACTCATTTATTGTGAAGAACAATGCCCCTCCTTATTACTAGCTCACTTTAGTGCTTGTCACTAGTTCTTAAGATAACAAAAGGGTGAGGACATGTATTTACTATACAGGGATCTTCACAAACATTTTTACATTAATAATCCAAAAGGAAATCTCAGGACTTTTAGTTATTTACAAAGGACAGTGTGGTGTCTGTGTTCTGTGGTGTGTGATCAGTTCTCTTTGGAACTGTGTCAGGAGGAGGAGCCTTGCGGCAGGCCCGGCGGGGCTCGCTGTCGCTGCCCGGCCCAGGCGGGCGCTGTGTCCCGGCTGTCGCCGGCCGGGCCGGGACGCGGCCGAGCGGCCTCGGCTGCGCTGGGGCTGCGCGGGGCGGGAGGGGCCCGGGGCAGCCTCCGCCCTGTCCCCGCCCCGGGGCATCCCCGGCACTGGGGCGGCCCCGGGGGAAGCGCGGAAATGCCGCCTCGGCTCCCGAGAGCGCAGCGCTCCTCGGGCAGCGCGGGGTGCGCTGGAAAGGGCTCTGGCTGCGAGGCTCGCACGGGCGCTGCAGGGAAGGGAAAGTGAAGGCACCGCCGGGACATCGGTCCTGAGGTGGGCTCGGGAGCTGCTGGCGTCTTCTTTAGCACAGAGCTTG